TCCTAAGAGGGAACTCTCAGCATCGCAGTAAACTCCAGTTTCCACATGGTTTCTGAAGAAGCCACAGTGCAAAACTGGATTTACAGTGTATAGATATGTAAAACAGTGTGTAAATATGTAAAACTGATGCAGATCTGCAGGGCTTAATTTCAGCCTCCTGGGTGTGTGTGCCATGCTACGTAGGCAGAATAGTCAAGGAAACTTTGTCACTAACCACTGTAACCACCATCCCTGTTGCTATGGTGCATATGTAACCATGGACACTGTGAGAGGATGTGGCTGCGTAGGATTGCTGAAACAGGAAGCGTTTGTTAGTAGGTAGGCTAAGGCATGTTCTGTGAGCCTTTTGCCTTCTGTCTTACACAGCTGAATCTTCATCTTGGGTCCCATCCCCATCCCAGTCCACCCAGTCTTTGTATCTCTGTTAAGAGTTGAGTTACAAGAGAACTATGGAAGCGATCTAGTATTTGAACACATATGCCAGTGTGGTATAGTGGTTTGAGTGTTGGACTGCAACTCTGGAGATCACGGTTTGATTCCCTGCTCAGTCATGCAAACCCACTGGGTGACCTTGGGCAAGTCACACCCTCTCAGCATCAGAGGAAGGCAAACCCACTCTAAACAAATCTTTGCAAGAAAGCACCATGACAGGCTTGTCTTAGGGGCACCACAAGTTGAAAATGACTTGAAGGCACACTACTGCCACAACACACCATCACATGAGTAATGCTGCTGCAAGAGATTTTGCATTGCATGGTATCAAAGGGTGCAAAAACTCACATGAGATACACAGAAGTGAGGAAGGCAGGCAGGGCTTTTCACAAAAACCGAATGTTTATTTCTACAGTTACCTGAATTGTTGAATGCAGTTGTGGCAGTGATATGAATAAACTTATCTGAGTTGTGCCAAGCAAGAAATCTTTATCTCCTTTCTGATTTTTTTAAGCCCATATGTGAAAATGTTTGGCTGATGACTTTTCTCTAATTTATTTCATGAACACTAGGATTATGAAATTGCTTGGCACAACTAGATAGGAGATTCAAGTGTAAAGATATATGATCAAATACCAAGGTCAGAATTGCCCATGTCATGATATTTCAAATAAACGGGTCGGAGACCAAATCAAGCCTGAGCCTCAAAGCCAAAATGAGCAAACTGAGGCTGTTGTGCTTTGGCCTTATCATGAAGCAACATGACTCCTTAGGAAAGATAATGATGCTTAGTGAAGTGGGAAGCTGTGGGAAAAGAGAAAGATCACATTGCAGGTGGACAGACTCAGTCAAGTGAGCCACAACCCTGAATTTGCAGGACTTCAGCAGTGCTGATCATGACAGAGTGTCTTGGAGGGCTCTCATTTATAGGATTGCCAAATCTGAAGCCAGCTTGATTGCAATTAATCACAAATCCCAAGAACAATATTTATACCTCCTGGAAAAGCAACTCCCTCCTTAAACAATTCCTAGAGTTTATGTGAAGTCTATGGGCTACATTATATGAAAGCTTGCTTTTATTATATATAGGCTTGATTATATGAAGCCCATGGATACTTCTACCTCTTTAGTGCCCTTCTTTGCTCACTAAACCCCATTTATCCCAGCCATTGGAAAGAGATTGTTAAAGATGTTGACAGCTCTGTTAGAACCAAGGCTCTGTCCTGCAATTGTTTCGGCCCGCAATTCCACTATTGCTGACCATCAGCCTACTGGCTGGATATGATAGATGTTGTAGTCTAAAACATTAGGATGACACCAAGTTGGGAACAGCTGTTAAAGAAATGCACTTGAAGAACTAATTCTTGCCTAAACACTGTAAGTTACAAAAACAGAAAATGGAGGTTATAGTGCAATCAACCTCACTGGGAGGGTATTGTATACTATCCTTTTCCTCTCAAGTGTCACATCTTGTGTACATCATAGCCACACACTATACCCATCCCAATAGTCTTTGCACTAGAAGCCCTTGGAGCTTGGGAAAAAAGCCATAGAAGACCTCAGATATTGGACTACAACTTCCCAAATATCCATGTTGGCTGGGGGATTCTGGGAGATGTGGTCCAAAAAAATTAATTTCCCCAAGTTCCACTCTTACCCATTCTTGAAGCTACTGCCCCCAATAAAGCCATAGCGATCTGTCTGGCGATAGGGAGGCATCCCATTCAGCTCAGAATCAGAGCCCAGGGAACTGGCATCATCGCGGAGGGAGAAATCAAAAGCATCTGGTAATTCAGCCACAGCTTGGCTTACGTCGTCTTCAGGGAGCTCTGCTGAAAGAGAGGGGTCTGACATCTTCCCCTTCCAAATCCTATTTGTATATCCTACAGTTGGCAGACCCTTTACTTCATGCCAGCTGCCAAGCCCTTGGCTGCACCTCTGAGCAGAACAACACCTTGCATCTGTGAATGTGCCTCTTGTCACTCCTGTTGTGACTCGAGTTCCCCACAGGCTCTGCAAGCTACTTCCTCCCACAACCATTTCCTGATATTTAGGGCTTTGCACAGTAAATAAGTCACTGGGGGGTGGGGAGCAGGACAGGGTGGAAGAGAGCAGAACACCTCACTGGAAGGAACACAGGACTTTTGTTTGTTGTTAACCGCCTTCGAGTCGATCTCGACTCATGGTGACCCTGAGGATGAGACATCTCCAAGACTCCCTATCCTCCACTGCTCTGCTTAGGTCCTGCAAACTCATACCTGTGACCTTGTGTCCATTCATCTAGCATGTGGTCTTCCTCTCTTTTTGCATCCTTCTACTTTTCCTAGCATTATTGTCTTTTCCAATGAGTTGTGCCTTCTTGTGACATGGCCAAAGTATGACAATCTCAACTTTATCATCTTGGCTTCCAGGTTTGATCTGTTATAGGACCCATTTGTTCATCTTTTTGGCTGTCCAAGGTATCCAAAACACAGGTCAGCTACCCACAATTCTAAGAGAGCAGGGGTAGGCAACCTTTCCCCTTTAAGGGCCGAGGGACTTCAGCTCCCAGAAGCCTCAGCCATGTTGGCCAATAGTCCCATGTTGGCCAATAGCTCCTGGGATTCTGGGAGCTGAAGTCCCTCGGCCCTTAAAGGGGAAAGGTTGCCTACCCCTGTAAGAGAGGCTTGGAAAGCAGGAGACCATCCTTCCCCAAGGATATCCTTTCTAAGCATTGAGGTGGTAGGGAAGAACCAACAGGCAGATTCTTTTGTCCCTGCCCATGGGCATGAACTGCACCCTGCACCAGCCCCTTCTGGAGTACCTCTTTATTTTATGTATTTATCTACTAGATTTATATCCTGCCCTTTTCCTTCCTTCCTTTCTATACTATAGTTTATTGGTAAATAACAAACTTGCAATCAAAACCAGAAAAAAGAAGCATCACAATACAAGTAAAAGACCATTGAAATTAATTAGGAACCATAAACAGAATTATTGTTGATCAGGAATGGCTACCAGGAGCACATAACTCCCTAGTTGTAACAAAGACCTATATGATGTAAGTCCAGGTTATCTGAAAGACGGCATCTTTCTTTATGAACCTGCTTCTGTTTTGAGATCTTCCGGGGCTCCCTTCCCTTTATCCCACAGGTAGAGAGAGGGTCTTCTCAGTGGATCCTCCCACTTTGGATTATCAAAGTGTTGGAGTTGGTTAAGATAAATAAACCGACCATAAAAATTATTGCCTTTAATTTTATTGATGCCCCCCCACCTGCCAGTTGTCTGCCTGTGGAATAATCAATAAGCAAAAGCTGTGTTTCATAGAAAGTTATGAATCTGATTATTTTCTTTCTCATACTTGTATTATTTTATTTTTCACAGCTGCCAAAGTCCAGAGTCTACATTCCTATTTAAACAAATCTTGATCTCTCTTCCAGTCTTAAGAGATCTTCAACCCTGCTTTTTGGACTACAACTCCCAGAATTCCCCCCAGCCAATGTGAGGGGTGCATAATATCCCAATATGGACTGGGCCTGAGTCACAGCCTGTGTAAGCACCTCTACAACAGCAAAAGTTGGCTGGATGAAAATTGCTGGGAATAGAAATCACTGGGCTCTCTCCACAACCCTTCTTTCCAACATTTCCTTAGGAGAAATGCAAACTGGTGTAACTGGAGTTCTTCCATGTAGACAACGCTGCAGTCACCTAGCTTTTTTCAAAAAGGCGTAATGAAATGTCTTCTTCCTGGAATGGTGTGTGCTACTTCCTATAAAGTACCCACAGTTCTTCCTTTGATACTTGCATGTGGTGTGCGTAAGCATGCTTCCTTCAAAAAGGCTCAGAAAAACCCAGTGATGGCAGCTTCACATTTTCATCTTCATGTGTCTATTTAGTGGCGTCCCCACTCCAGGTGTCACACGGAGGTCTCCTTGTGAGGAGGCCTCCCCCCCCCCCCCCCCCCCGATGCAGCAAAGCCAGAAGAGGCGAGCTCAGCCCTCCTCATAGTGGGAGGAGGGCCCCACTAGGTGTCACCCCTCTTTTGGGGTGTCACTTGGTGTGGGTTGTACCCCCTGCACCCTCCTAGTAATGCCACTGCGTCTACCTCCAAGTGCACAGCATCTTATTATCAGGATGTGATTGGACACATGGGTGCATTTCATTCTGGATACCTCATGGCTTGTGAATGATGCATTTATGAAACATGAAAAATGTGCAGTGGACTGTCCATATCCCCGTTGCATGCACATTCCTAAATCAGGGCTTGGTAACCTCCTGGTTCAGGGCCACACCTGGTACTCAGCCTCGTCTCCTGCCTCCCTCCAACTACCATTTACACTTGTCCCTCCACATTCACTGGGGTTAGGGGCATAGGGCCCCCATGAATGTGGAAAAAACGCAAATAACAAAAACACTGTTTGTATCTGAGAGAACACCTCTCTAAGAATCTCTAGGTCCTCCAGTATAACTCTGTGGCCAACATTTGCCAGACATTGACCATAGAATTGCACTGGAGGAGTTACAAATGCCTAGTGGAGTGTTCTCTCTACGAATCTCTAGGTCCCTCAGTGCGATTTTTGGTTAAGTTAACCATAGGGTTGCACTGAAGGACCTAGATATTCCTAGAGAGAACATATTAATAAAATCTGTGAATAATCAAATCTGCAAAAGTCAAAGCCACAAATGTGGAGGGACGAGTGTATACTCAACTATAAGCTGACCTCATGTATAAGTCGAGGGCAGGTTTTGGGGCCAAAATTATGGATTTTGATATGAGCCATGGATAAGTCAAGGGTAAAACTTAAGAGGCATAGAGAAAAGGATGTAAGGGGTGATGTAAAGGAAAACAATGCCACAGAACCTACATAATTCTGACAAGCATAACTACAGTAGCCCCTCCCAATTCACAAGGGATCTGTTCCAGACATCACCATCCCCACAAAAATGGTAGCTTGCAAATATTCGAGCCCTACTGAAAATAATGGTGCATGCACCCTTGGCGCGCATGTGGGGCCACACACATGCATGCACCACCATTTTATCCCTCCCCACTTGTTCCTCCTGCGAAGAGTGAGACCGTGAACTCAAAGTCCATGAATGGGGAGGGACAACTGTATTTGTGCTTTTCCAACCCAGACAT